ACAATCTTTACTTATTATTAAATAAGTTTGATAGTAAAATAATCTTATAAGCTTATATTCTAAGAGTTATTATCTTTATGTAAAATTATAAAAGTAGTGATTATTATACATATATTGTCAAATTCACTTAAAAATCAAATTTAGCTTCTAACTTTAATGATAACTTATTTAAAAAATATTATAGTGTATAATACAGTAATTATCTTAGCTATTACAGCTTCTTATAGTAAATTTAAATTACTAATTACTGATTAATCATTTTCTTATAAGATAAGAACTCCTATTATTTAAAGACATAAGATAGTATTTATTATAAACTTATTAGCGAAAGTTAAGTTTTTATTAATCTTTAGTTTCATTTATATCTACCTATTTTTAAAATCTAAGATTTAAGCATATTAATATTAATTAATAAATTGATTAACTAATTACTAATATAATTAGTATACAGTATATATTTATGTATTTAGTTACAATAAAATTTTATGAAAATCTTCAGTTTTATGCTTCAGCTAAAGCCTGAACCTGTGGCTATTGTAGTATAACTTATAATAGAAACTTAGTTATTGTTAACTAAACTAAAAATACTTATTTTTTGTTAATTTGTTCAATTATATTAAAAATAATATTAAATAAATTTTATTTATCATAATATTTATTTAAAATATTTTCAAATTATAAAATTCTTGAAGAAATTAGAAAAAGAAAAATACAAATACTATTATCTTAAGGATTTATTCATCTAAAATATAAAATAAAAAGATAATTAATTAATATTTAGTTTAAATAATTAATTAAAATTAATAATAATTATAATTCTTATTAATAGTAAAATTTTTTTATTTAATTTATTTTCTATTTTTATATTAGTTCTAACTAATTTTATTTATAATAAAAATCTACTTAATACTTAATGTGAAAATACATCATATTTAATTATAATATTTTAATTAGATTAAAAAACCATAGTTTTTAATAGTATTTGTGATTGAATTATCAAAATATTACTGATCTATATAGTGTAGATTAAATAATAACATAATTGATATAATTAATATAATCAACATATTGAACATATTTAACATATTTTATATATTTAATATAGTTAACATAATTAATTTAGTTAAAATTGTTAAAATTATTAATATAGTTAAAAATATTTTCATCAATTAATATCTTATTTCTTAATTTATTCTAATCTATTGAAATATTATGAATATAATTAATTGGAACTTTAGTAATCTTCAAAGAATTTAAAACTAAATTTAAAAAAAAGCTAAAATAATTAATATATTATTTTATGTATTTGAAAATATATATATATAAGACTCAATTATTTAAACTTTCTATATATATTTAGATTCAAACCCACTTAGTATATTTCTTTTAGTATTTTACATACACTTAAGCTATTGAGCAATCTTATTTTTATTTATCATATTTTACCTTCCATTAAATACTTTTTTTATTTCTTTATTATTTCTTAGCTTTTTTCTTATATTTTATTAATAAATTATTTTATCATAAACTATCAATTATTTAACACTTTATAATAAATATTTATATATAAATATTCATATTTCTTATAAACATTATTTAGTATAATTATATATTTTACTATATAGATTTAAAAAAAAATTAACCTATAATACACTATCTAATTATTGCAATTCATAAAAATTGTATATTAATAGTATTAAATAAAATTAGACATTATAAATACCTTAGTAATGATACAATCTATTTTATCAATTTTTCCTTTTTCTATTTTTTAGTTTAAAAAATTAGATATTACTGTTTATTTAAATTTTATAATAGAAGGTTTATCTGATTTACTTTAAATATATTCATCTTAAATATTATGTTTTTCTTTATCTCTTTTTATAATACTTATCGTTATATATAATTCAAGTTCTTTAAGATATTTTTATAATGATTAGCTAAATATTTAAGCTTTTTATATTTTTAATAAAATTTACAGTTATTACAGGTTATTGAATAATATTCTTTTGATTATTTAAACCCTTTAAGTTTATTAATTATATCAGTATTTACTATTATTTTAAAAGATATTATTGATATAAGCACTTTACAGTAAAAAAAAAAACTATTAAAAAATTTTTTTGAGTTGATGTTAAATCTAGATTTATTTTACTAAAAAAATATATTTAACTTATAAAATAAAAAAATCTTTTTTAGTAGTTTCTTCTTTTTCTATTGTAAAGTATCTATATAATATAATATTATAACTATTAAAGAAAATTAAAAGTAAACTAAAAAATGATACAATCTAAAATTTTATATATTTATGTATATAAAACTAAAAAAAAGCTAAAGTAAAAAAATTAAAAAAAGTTCAAGAAAACTAAAAAAAATCAAAAAAATCAAAAAAAAGTTTTTAATAAAAATTAAAAGCAAAACAATTAAGCAAAATAATTTGCAAATTGATTTAAAAGTAAATTTACATGACAATTTATAGTATATTATAAAATTAAATCTGTATAATACTTTTAAAAATTTTATAATTTTTTTTTAAAAGTTTTTTTTTGAAAAATCTAAGCATTTTTACTTAAATCAATTCTTATTACTATTAATATAATTATTTGATATTAATAATAAATTTAATTATAATAGCTAATTTAAATGGTCTAATTTTTAATTTTAAAATGAATATTACAAAAATCTGATTATAGTATAGTTTAATTCATATATACATTAAAAACTATACATATATAGTTTTTTTATAAACAAATAGTCTATACTTGTATGGTTTCTAATACTATATATACTGTATATATATATGGGAAGGTTGCTAGGAAAATCAGGCTCTGGGAAATTTTTAACTAAAATTAAGACCTTATTACATTTTAATCAAATAACATCAAAAACTAAAAAAGAAGGATACGCATTGCTCAAAATAAGGTGCATTTGGCATACCAATTTTTTCCCACAAAAAAAAATCAAAATAAGACGTTATTAATTTCATTCTAACCAAAAAAATCATCATTACTAATAATTTCCACTTATTTTCTAGATTATTATTATTTATAGAATGAATAATGACGTTTATTTTTATACCGTGAAAATAATAAAAATACCTTGTGTATACTAACGGTTCGATCCAACCATCTTAGATAAATTGCGCAGCATAATATTCTTTAACGAGAAATTTGAAAATTTCATACATACCTACTACCATATTTCTAAACTTGACTAAAAAGTGAGGTAGTATTAATGGTAAACTCGCGCGAGGAAAAATTTTCGCTCTCAGACTCGTCGTATTCTTTTAATCATAATTATATTAGCGGATCTATGCCAAGAAAAAAAGTCTTTTTTTTTGTATTATTAAGCCTGGTGTGATATTATTATAAATCCAGGTAAATATTTACCATATAACCCTGAACGGTTTAGACAAATACATGAAAAATAGAAATCTGCTCTAATCGTTCTTATAAAATGGTGTGAAATTTTTTTGGGGATTTTTCACCAAAAAAAAAATGTCTCAAAAACCTTTAGTTGTCGTTTTCGGTTCTACAGGTAAAAAGACAAAGAATGCTTATACGCAGTCATTTATTTAAAGATGTGAATAATATTTGATTTTTTAAAAATCAGGTGCGCAAGGTGGATCCGTTGCTAATTCACTTCTCGGAACGGATCGTTACAGAGTTCGAGCATTAACTCGTAACGTAAATTCTGAAAAGGCAAAGGAATTGGCAGCTAAGGGTGCTGAAGTATTTAAATGTGATTTGTTCGAGAAAAAAGAGATCGAGAATGCTTTGCAAGGTGCCGAAATTGCATATGTCAATACTAATTATTGGGATCCGGTAATATTGATACTTATTTTTATTATTATTATTTTTTTTTCATTAAGATGAACTTAAATGAGAATAAAAATTATTTATATTTAGTCAATCGTTGGTAAAGGTGTTCACGAAGAAGAAAGATTAGGTAAATTGATTGCCGACATTGCCAAAGCAGCCGGAATTAAATGGATAATCTACAGGTAAAGAATTTTTATAAACATTCTCACTAAATTCATCCACATGAATTTAAAAACTTTAATGCCTAAATTGTAGTTCTTTTCCTGATCTTGCCACCGAATCTAACGGAAAATATCCGACTATTAACTTAACCGGTAAAAATTACGTAGAAAAATATATTAAAACGTTGGGAATTCCAAACGTTACATTCGTCTATCTTGGATATTATGCTAATAATTTTGAAAGGATCGTCTACAAGGAGCAGAAAGATAACGGTGATGTTGAAATTGCTCTTCCTTATTTAAAGGAAGACGATGTTCTTGCCATTATCGATGTTGATGACCTTGGTGTATGTATATATTTTATTTATTTAAATTATATATATTTAATATGTTTATATAAAAACCAATTTTTCCTTATTATGGTAGCCAATTGTTTCGAAAATTCTTGAACAAGGACCTGCTAAATGGAACGGTAAAGCGATTCCCATCGCTTCAGAATATGTGAATATGAAACATATTATTGATTGTTTAACCAAGGGTAAATATATTTTTAAGACGGTAGATTTAACATTATCGTTATTAAACCTATAATCTTAATTGTATAGCTTCTGGAAAACGACATATCTTAAAAACTCTTGATGACGAAAGTATCAAAAAAGGATATCCAAGATACAACCAAGAAATCAGAGAGATGGTAAATATATAACAAAATTCTTTTTTTTTTTAAAAAAGTCCTTTCATTAATAAAATACTCGTATGTTCCTGTTTAAAGTACGGATGGATTAAAGAATTTGATTTTTTTGGAAAAGACAAAAGCAATGGAGATATTTCTATCGTTAAACAATTACATCCAAACATTCTTTCCTATGAGCAGTATGTTAAAAAAGCTTATGAAAAGAAATAAATTAGTTTTATCTTCCGTGTAACAAATCAAAACAAAGTTTTTGATCTTTTGTGTAACAAACTAATTCATTAGTGGATAAATTTGAAACAATTATATTTCTCAAGTAAATAAACGATGTCTGTACTACTTTTTTCAAAAGATTTCATCTCATCTGAAGTTCAAGCGTCGTTACCCAAAAGTTATACCTTACGACCCTTATCTATCGATGATTATGAGCGTGGTTTTTTTGATGTGCTATCCGTTTTTAATGACATAGGAAGCCTCTCCAAAGATCAATTTCTTGGTAGATATTTCATTCTTCCGGTTATTTAAATGTATTATATTAATAAAATTAATAAATTTCTCAGAGCGGTTTAATTACATGAAAGCACGTCAAGATGAATACTTTGTTATCGTAATTATATCTCCCGAAGATCGAGTTATCGGAACTGGAGCAATCTTTGTCGAGCATAAATTTATATTTAATGCTGGGCGTGTTAGTTATCTTTGATTCGAAATATCTTTATCTTTTCATTTTTAAATTTCTTATGACTTTATTATTACAAATCAATTAGGTTGGACATATAGAGGATGTTGCCATTGATAAAAATCATCAAGGTAAACATTTCGGTTTAAGGTAAATTTTTAAAGAAGATTTATACATTAAATCTATATTTAAATAATTAGGAAGTAAAATACTATTTATTTTAGTGTTGTTCAAGCTCTCAAATATATTGGAGTAAAAATTGGATGTGTTAAAGGTGAAATTCATATACTGTTACTTATGCCTGTTCAGTAATTGCTTCTTACTTTGTATTTATTTCTTACAGCTATTTTGGATTGTTCTGTCGAGGTAAAATTTCGCTATTAATTATAAATGTTATCAATTCTTGCTTTAATATATATTTTAAATTGTTACAGAATATTCCTTTCTATGAAAAATGCGGGTAAGATTAATATTAAAGTTTACCACCATTTTAATTTTTTTTACTAATTTTTAAATAAATAATAAAATAGATTGCAAAATAGTGGAATTGAAATGTCATGTGATTTTTGACGATATTTAAAAGTTTAAAGGGTAAGTGGCACCAACTTTTTTTTTTTTTACATAACACCTTCCGTAAATTATTTGCGTTTTCTTTTAATTTATAAAAATAAAGTATGGTAACTTTGAAAAATTTATTCTTCATGCTATGAAATTATGTAATGTTTCAAATAATATAAAAAGTACAAAATTACTTATATTGGATGATTATGTTAAGATTTTTTAACTAGCCAATTCAAATGTTTAGATTTCTGAAAAAATCCAAGCACCATTAATTCGATTAATGATGAATCTTTCCCAACATCATTCAAAAGCTAAAGCAATATAAATAACAATAATCTATTATACACAGTAATAGATTGTCTTTCTAATAACTCGTTTTTTGCTCTTTTTGCCTTTCATTTAGTTCAGACAATTCAAGATTAATCGATTATAATCGAATACTATACAATTTATACAATTTATAATAATTTATTTTTTATATTTGAATATGAATATTTGTCAAAATTTTACTAAACATCTAACATATAATTACATTTTGTAATAAAATTAGCAGATCATTTGCATTATACTTTAAAGTTGCTAAAAGTTTATTTCTAATTTTAAAAATTCTTAAATCAGAAAGGAAACTAAATAAAATAAAGGTAATTATAAATTAATTTAGTGTTTTATAATTTAATAATATAATTTCAAAATTAAAAACTATTATCTAATCTTAAAATATATTAATTTTTTTTTTAAAAAATAATATAATATATAAATATAATCATTAAGCCAAAATATAAATCTAAACCAATTACACTAATATGTGATTAAGATTTGAACTATTGAATAATCAATTTAATATTTTTATAATTATATATAAAAAGTTTATTATTTCTTTAATTTTATACTAGAAATTAATATTATATTAGAAAATTACATATTTATCATAATTAAAGATAGTGCTGTAACATTATGATACTTATTTATTATCTATTATAACTTGAATTTCAATAATGTTGCAATTTATTGCAATATTGAAATACTTATTTATCACCTGTTACAACTAATTGAGACGCTATCTTTAATCATAATATTATCAATATCAAAAAGTTTTTATTAAAAATTTTATAGTTTAATTTTTATTTATAATATTAGTAAAAAAAATATTAATTAAACTATTTATTAAAAAGTAATTTAATATAAATTTTGTATAAATAATTAAGTTTTATAAAATATATGAGTATTTTGTTATATTTGAAAAATGATTTTATTAGAAATAATAATTTGTTTTAATTTTGATTTTGATTATTCCAGAATGTAAGCAAAAAACTATATATGTATAAATAATAATAATGAAAAATATCCATCTGTCTACTACTCAAAATTTGAGTTAATATATAGTTAGTCTCTTTTATTACATTTATGCTTTTAACTTAACAATAATTTTTGAAACCATTTCTTAGTATTTATTACTAATATTATTTAATAATAAAAATAGTATAATTGTAAAAATTATACAATATATATTTAAGAATATAAAATTTATTAAAATAGTTTTTGATTAAGTTTTATATTTCTTTAAATAAAATATTTAATTTTAATTACTATTCATTTATATTTTATATATTCTTTAATATTAATAATAATAAGTTTACAGTGATCATAAGTATTTGATCCCTTATAATTCTTAAAGTTAATTAATATATCCATTAAAATTTTTCAAAATTCAAGTACAATACCAATATTGATCAAATATAAAATTATAAGCTTATATAACATATAAATTAAAAATTAGATGATCAATGAATTTTACATGTAAAATGCTGATATTTTTTGATAAATTAAACAAAATAGATTTTTTTATATAAATTTCAATAATAACTGAAATAGAATTTTAAAAATATAGCTACTTTATATTTATTATAATAAAATTATAACATTTATTATATTTAAAAATATTATTTAAATAAAGATTTTAGTAATAAACAAAAGTTATAATA